ATAATGAGCTGGATCACTCGGTGAGGAGTCTGCTTAGCATCTTGCCATCAGGGGAGAAATGTTGGGAATATTGGCCAGAAGCAGGAAGAGAAGGAAACTCGTTAGATTGGCTCAGTGGTATCATCTTGCTGTACCCTCAATGTTAAATTGATAAACCATCTTCCCTTAATAATAACCCAATGTATTTAATGAATATAGGTGCTGAGTCAAGAAGTCAAAGTATTTTTCTTGATCTGACTCTGGGAAATACAGCTTATGTCTAAAAATACTTTCATCAAGGATTTGAATTGTCTTTAATTGTTGAGGAGGTGGAGTCTTGGCAGGCCATGTGGAAAGATCACTATTCACAACACACTGGTGTAGAGCTTTGCACTTCTACAAGTCTTTGTACTTGGAAGGGCAGAGAGGTCACTCTCCCACACACCTATTACTGCAGAACCATTGAAAGAACTTCCTTTTTCTCCTGAATTCCCTACTCTCCTGATCAGTAGAATTTAATTTCTAGAATTATTGTGGTTTGTGTTACATCATCAGTGAAAGATCTGAAAATGACTACAGTATAATTTCTACTTTATTTACTATTTATACTCTAGCTTTGTACCTACCTACGCATTTCAGCTTCTTTCTTTTTTATCAGCTTGGCAATAGTTTCCTTTGCTTTAAAATGAGCTTTAATCTGATCATCTTCTTCCATTCGTTTTTGTTCCTCTACTGCTTTGATTATTTTCTGGTCAGCTACATGCTCCTGTGTGGGCAAAATGGGCCTGATGTAACAGATGAAGTTTTGAAAGAAACATTGAGAGAATAGGGAGTGATTCTTTTAAGTTGCTATCCCCAGGCTCAGCTTTTCCAAAAGAGAAGAGAGGAAATGGATTCTCAGTACTTCTGCTTACTTCTGCCTCCCTGTGCAAACATGGAGGAAGAGGGGGAATTGAGCATGGAACAGCTGCTTCTCCAGCTCATTACACACATTGGTGTGCAATGCAATGAGCATTATCCCTTGCTTCCATTCACACACATGGGAGAGGGGGATGTTGAGAGGAATGGGACTGTGCAACCCCTACCAACACAGACCGTACTGCTGCTGGCCCACCTCATCCAGAACAACCCCAGTCTAAGAGCTTCATCCAAATCATAGCTGAAGAGGAGTTTTCTATACTCTTATGCAAAAAAACAACTCTTATTTTTTATGCTGGCCAGATCTGCTCTGAGGCATTTCTAGTCTGTGTTTAGCAAGATGCCTTTAAAGATGAAGGGAAAAGGCAGCAGCCTTGACTAAATTTCTAAACTTCTCCGATCATAAAGGGAAAGTCAAGTTAAAAAGATACTGTTGTGTTCAGTCTCTGGCTATTCCCTCTTCCTAACAAAGAAAAATGGACTTAAAACAGCAGGTATGTGGAACTTAAATCCAGTTCTCAAGTCAAGGAGAATATTCCTTGATGTCTACAGCAGACGTTTTAATCAGACCAGTCAGAGCATCAGGTGCCAATGTCCCTTCAGACAAGAGATGGGACCTGCCTCCAAGAGACCTTTCTCAAAAGCACAAAGACATGGCCTGCAACTGGCAAGGTAGGTCAACTGAAGCTGTCAGCAAACCTCCTCTTGCCAGTAGGCCCATTTAGATATATGAATGCTGTTGTTTTACTCCAGGCAGCCAAGGTGAAACAAGCATTTTGAACTGTCTGCTTTCCTGTTACTTACATGATGCAGCCTCTGGCGTTCAGCTTTTTCCTTCTGTTCCTTTTCCATTCTTCTCTGAATTTCCAGTTGGTACAATTGGTTCAATCTCTGTATTTGTTCCCCTTCTCTTTTGTTTTCTAGCTTGGCCAGATCTGCCTGATGCTTGTGCTCCTTTATTCTGAATCAGAAAAAGTAGTTGAATAAATGGGCTAGGGACTGCATGAAGTAATAAACAGATACTGATTCTGCATAACCATAGGTACCTTGCACTGAAGAATGTGATACTTGGAACTGAAGGTGGGTAGAATATCAGAGGTGAAAAATAGCATCATTGTTTGTAATGGTAGCCCTCAGTCCTCTGACCAGAAATGAGCTATGTGGTATGCTCACAGTCTACAGTCTAGTGCTAACAAGTTTTATCTGGATATCTCATTAGCACCATTGCATTCATAATGTTCTGGCCCATGTCTGCAGCATCCTCAGGGAACAAGTTTTCCCCAGTAAGTCCCACTGTATCTACACTTCTCTGGCTGTGCAGGCAGCAGCTTAAGTCAGTAGTGTTCTATATTTCTGCAAGGATTTATGTGTTGGCCCTGCAATAAGTGAGAGCAGACTTTTCACCCTTCCTCTGCCTCAGGGAATTTGATTCCTTCTATCAGACTACCAGATCCAGTCCTATAAATACCACTGGGGACCCCTCCATAAGGTTTCTGGGAGAGCTGAGAGAAAGAATGGGGGTGGTAGTGGTGCATTCTCTGGAATCTAGTTACGGGCAAATGGAAAATCTGGTTTAACCTTTTCCTTTTCTGGAACCAAAGCTGAGTTAAAATACACTTTCAGTAACAACTTTTGAATAGTGGTTTGACTAAAACCTCTTGATGCTTGTCAGAGGCGATTTTTTTGTGCAGACTGTTGGCAACTAAAAGACACTGCGTATCACAGCTTTTCCCTTTAGTGCAAGGTCTTTTGTGGCACTCTGGGTTCTTCTTTTAAAGTGTCTCATTTGTGAGTGAAATTATTAGTAAGTTTCTGTGAAAACCTTATAAAATATATTTGTGAGAAGTGAGTTTAAGAAAATAATGAAGTAGGGTTACTCTTGATTAATTTTCACTTACTGTTCTAGCTGATCTCTGCGTAGTGCCTGTTGATTCATATAACGCTGATGTGCCTTTTCTTGCTCTCTGAGAATAGCTTCTTTATGTTCATGTTCCTTTTCTTCATCCTTCTTTTTGTTAACATCTGACTTTAACTTTTTAAATTCAACTTGAGCATCTCTTTCTTTTAGGACCTCAGCAAGTAGAAGTGCACTCTGCAAGAGAACATTTAAAGTAATTTGCATGTTCAGAAGTGTTTAAAGACATTCAGCACAATTTGAATTTAAAAATTAAAAGTTGTCAACAAACATGCAAGCCTTTCACTCTTTCATTTTGATAGTATAGGTAGGTTTTTGCATTATTAATAGCCTCCTTCCGTTTTGCCACTTGGAACTGTTCTTCTTCCAAATCAAGTAACTTTCTTTCTTCCTCTTCCCTTTCTTTACGTAATTTTTTGGCTTTAAGTTTCTGTTGTGCCAGGCTCTACAGTGAGAAAAAATGAGAAATCACATTTAAAGCCCATGGATTAAAAATGTACAAACCATTCTGAAGGTGATGCACTTATTCAATGTTTGCTTTTTTAAATTTTTCATTTTATCTTTAATTTAAAAAATCTAAATGTTGATGTTAGATGTTAAATGTATTTAAATGGGGTTTAGTTAAAATACATATTTAAAAGCAAGTATTAAACAATGGCAGTACAGCAAGAAGTGTTATTATGAATGGTTTTGCATATATGAAAATGAAGCTCCTTGTTTACAAATGTATCTTGTACTCACCATAATTGTATTGGGCCAGTCTTTTACAGCAGCTTTGGAGCGTAAGTGCATTTCTTCCCGTTCTTTCTTCTCGGCAAGGATGCGTGCTGCTTCCCTAGTTGTGCTGCTAAGATTATCCTGAATCCTTTCCCATTCTGCTTTTGGCAGTACAATTACCTGATGAACATCTACTTCATTTGGAAGAAAATATCTATGTAGAAAGTTATTTTCTTCCAAATTATGTGTTGCTGTGCAGAGGGAAGAAAAGATACTGAGGTTACTTGATATCAGAAAATCCTATATTCAAACCTGTATCAGGATTTAAATTATTGCATAGTAACAATACTGTTATCCTTAGTTACTCTCCCCATCCCCATGCTAGGACAGGGTGTCTGTATCTGTAGTCTAACTACAGCCAGCACATGTACTTGGGCTGTGGAACAGAGTAGCTTAACTGTTTCTGTGTCCCTTTGCCTGTTGGTGTTTGCAGGTTTGGTTTATGGTAACTGACATTTTCCAGGCAGTACTCAGGCATGATTCTGAGGACAGCAGGGACTGGGAAGCATTCCCAAAAGGAAAGGGAGAATATTGGTAGAGCCATTCCCTTGGCTGGCTGAGGCAGCAGTTTGGGCACAGGCTGTGTCTTCCCACTCTTGTCCTGTGACTCATCCTATTTACTAAACTGTATCTGTGGTAGAACAGTTTCTACAGTGATTTATTGGAAAGATTAGCATTTCTTTGCTGTATTAGGCTTACATACACATCTGCATGCATAAATATAGCTTTTCTAGGTGATTACTAGTTTTTGTGAAATGCCCTTCAAACTGTCACCAGTATTTTTGAAAGAAATGGCACTCTGAATGGAGTGGTGGCCTGTTAGAAATTCTTCTTGCTCGTCTGATTTGCAGAAGGCTGACATGCTGTGTCTGAAATGTAAGGAGGCTTTCTCTTACAGCGATACTGATGGCAAAGCCTGTTTTTCAGATGCAGTTGCTAATCGGTTTGTCTTCTGATAGGGACCAGACCTGATCTCCCTCTGTCCAAGGTGAAGGTGGCCTTGCCAAAAGTAAACGGACACGGACACGGCTGCTCCCTACAGATAGGGCGCTGCCAGGCACCCAGTTCTTCTCTAACTTTAGCTGTGGGATGATACTGTACCTCCCCTGGTTTCAGGTTAGTTCTTTCTACGTAATGCTTAGGGAGAAACAGCCTGTCTTGCTGGCTGCAGCTGGGAGAGCAGAGGGGAGGTTTGGGGAGAGTCCCCCCGGACACGGAGACAGGGGCCACCCCCACAGCTCCCGGAGCCGTGTACGGCCGCTGCAGCTCCGGGCTCGGCTCTGCCCTCCCCGCACTGCCCGGTGCCCGCGGGGGGAGCCCCACTCACGGGCGGGCTGCTGCTGCTGCCGTCG